GATATTTTCCACGATGCTGGGCTGGGCTATTGGTATTTTATTTCCAGCGGCCTGTGAGTTTGCTCAAGCTGCTGGAAAACAACCTATTTGATCAAGGTGTTGGATATTTTGCCTGATGTGGGACTTTTCCAAGTGTTTGCAGGCCATTGGATATTTTCCTAAGCTATTGGGTTTTCTCTCTCATGCTTACCCATATGTTTGGGCTCAAGGAATGGGCTTGAGTTTTGGTGCTCCCAAGTAGCCCAAAACTTCCACTCCTTGGACCATTAATGGGCCTCGTGAATACTCGTAACCATCCATACCACAACCCGCTCAGCAAGCCCCAGGCATTCGCATGGCTTGGGCCCACTTAAGCTTGTAGCGTGGCATGTTGCTTATTTGCTTGGCGTGGCATGTGTGCAAGCGCATATGATGAACTTTCGCGTGCCCAAATCGGGTTTCTTCTCGATAAGGTATAGCATTGGGCTGAGATTATATTTGGGCCTAGCCTTGGATTTTTTGGGCCTCAACACACCTACAATATTTGGGGGGCTTGACTAGGTTGGTTGCCTAACTTGGGAGGCTTGACTATTGTAATTAATGTTTTAGGAACTTGTATATATATGTGTTGATTGTAAGTAATGCAAGACATAAGAAAGAACTCTAAACCAGAAAATCTCTACACAAATCTCTACACTTTGTTTGGCAGGGACTGGCGAGCGGTCTCCGATGGCTGCGGGGCTGGTTTGGGTACCTCATCAGGAATTCAAGAACGTCAAAGTCTTCTTCAGATCGTGGCTCACTCAGACTTTGCAAAATCTTGTTTCTTTCCATTAAAACGATCAGCTTAGGTCGCAATTCATTCCACAAATCAGTTTTGACGGAGTCGATATACTGAACAATGTGACTTGCATTCGAGCGCTTTTCATCACCTTCGGCATTGTCTCGGTCATTCTCCACAACTTGCTGGAATTCGTAATACCGCTTCATGGAGAGGAAGAGCTGGAATTCCGGTGTCTATTCGTCTGCCATGGCGGCTTAGCAAAATACGCAGTGAATTTGGGGAGAAAATAAATGGTTAAAAAACAGAGTAATTTTTTTGTTTAATATATAAATCTGTGGCTTGTTGAATACGATTCAGGAGGGTTAGATATGTAAATTTCTGTTATAGGGGGTCATAAACTGCAAATCGATTGTATCGAAACAGTACTAGCAGCAAATCAGTAGAAGCCTGATGTTCCCTTCCCATGTGCAAACTTTCATATAGAAAATTGCTCTTGCAATATGCTTTAGACTGTTTCATTATGGTGTAACCTGGTTTCTTTTTTGTGTGGAAAAGCACTGATTAATGGCCCTAATTGTAAAGCTCATTGCAATGAGGGGTGCATGAGAATGAGCAAGTTGGCAACAAAGAGTTCATGTTTCCCACTTAGGCAATGCTTGATTGTTGACTGTGTTTGGAACCAATCATTACAGGTTTGAAATCATTTGTTGTATTTTTAATGGAATTCGTATGTTCCAAACAAACTGACCTCTAGGACAATCATAACAGAGTTGGGTATGTCCCATAGGTCTTGTTTTACTGTCCAATCTACCTGAACTTACTCAGATTAAGCGAGCCCTCTCAAAAATCATGGTTAAGGTGAGACATTCTGTTACCACATCCAATTTACCAAAAATAAGGCACAAGTGACTTGCCTTGTGAAAGTAGGTCTTGAAGTTGAAAATCATTTAAGGATAAAACTCTTCCCAACGTTCACATATAATAGTATTTATATCATAAGATTTGCAGTCACATAATTTAATTGGGGACTTAGGCTCGGTCACCTTTCACATGTGATCATCTTTAATAATTTATAGGCTCAGATACTAAAAGTTGAACAAATTCATCCTCAACCAATGATGAGGAGTACATATTCATTTAATAATATTGTTACCGACAACGAGATTTAGCCTAGTTGAAAATCTTTGAAAAATGATGATATGATGGATGCAATGTGCATCGCACTAATCAATAAAAATATCACTCTTCTACAAAAACGCAGGATTATTGCTCCTCTAAGCATAAGGTGGTTGTGTACATTTAAATTGCATAGTAGCTGTGTTAGGATATGATTAACCCATAACCCATAATTAATATGACTCCTTAATTTTCATGAAAGAAATGAAAGAAAATGAATGACATAATTATTTACATCCATCTTTTATTCCAGGAGAACACAAAAGCCATTATTTTTTCAGCAAGAAAACAAATAAAAATCAACAAGAGATGAAAAGCTGTTAGGCCATCTTACGTACCATTATGATAATGCTTCGCATATAACAGTAAATGATACTCAAACAAAGCTACCGGGTCTCCATCCATGAAAGTTTACAGTAAATTAAATTAAATAAATAAAAAATTGCAACGCCAAGTTACAAAGACTTCTCTTTCAATAAATCAAAATCCCATGTCCTCGATTTTGCTGCTTCAAAAATTGTCCCCCTGCACAATTGTCTTTCAACTAAATTGCCGAAAGTCTTCAAGGAAATCATGCTGTTAGTATACCTGAAGATGCTCAAACGCGTTTGCCTCCATTCTGTCCGATGAAGATAATGAAGAGTATCATAAATGAATCTGTGGCCTGGGAGTAATGTTTTAGCTTTGATGTATTTCATGGATTTATCTCTTACATCCCAAAAGTAAAACATACCACTAAAGCTGTGAGTTAAAAATATGCCATGCTCCCATTCACCACAAGTCTCAATTGATCTAACATCAATTGGAAACATTATGTTGTCAATTTTGTAATCTAGCTCCCACTCTTTTTTTTCATAATTTTTTAGTATCCATATCTGAAGAGAAACATATTCATATGACATAATAGCCAAACACCCCCTCACGTTAAGCAAATGATTCATACCATGATGGAAACCCTGTGATGAATTAGGATAAGGGATCCAAAAAAATTCATCTTTCTCAAAATCAAAAGAAATAATACGATTGGGTAATCTTCCACCTATATCATGATCAATCAACCAATGCATGTCTCCATATGCAGATACATTCTTGCTACTAAACTCACACTGGGGAACTGAGTGTATTTCTCTCCACGATGAAGATTTTATGTCCAATGTATAAACGTAAGCCACGATCCCGAGAGCCCTTTTAACAATACAAACAATCTTATGAGTCCTAGTTATACCATCAAATCCCATACCGTACCACTTTTTATCATAAGCTTCAACAAAGTCATTAATTGGCAACTCTAGATCTAGAACTTCTCCTCTGAGAGGATTGACCAATACACATTTACCCATCCCTTTAAAGCAAAACAAGTTGCCAAAAACAAAATCTACTTCGTAAAAACCGAGACTGCACAAAATCTGTGCATATCTATACTTGCTTTTGAAGTCGTGCTCGCCTTTGTAGTTCAGTGATTGCAAGGCAAAGCAGCTACGGTGTCTAGGATTAAAAGACGAGGTTTGAGTAAGAAGCATAAGTTGAGGTCCTTCAACAACAGGATTAAGTGAACGTAGCGTAGCAAAAAAGGGGTTATCAACTATGCTTAGAGAGGTCTTAGATACGCTACGGATGTGACAAAGTGATTTTATCGGCAGTCTTGTAAGGACGTCGAGGAGGATATCGTCGGGTAGGTCCATTAAGGTTGGCTTCTCGTTTCCCTTAGCCCTCGACTTCTCCAACCCTAGTAACAAATTTGAATATAAGTATTGAACTCATCACGTAGATGGTTCATAAGAATTGTATCAAAGGAGTCAAGATATAATTAACACAAAATTGTATTATTTACCAAAAACAAAAACACAAACAAGTATCACAGTTGATGTCAAACAGTTACATATTCAAGTAAATTAAATTGTAACAACAAATCAACAATACTTACCTTTGATTGAAAATATTAAAAGATGTGGCATCAAAATTAATAGAAGATCGATGCATCCGGTTAAAAAGTTTCTTCCAAACCAGCAACTATCAAGGATTTCCTTCATCTTAGGTCCCAGCTGCTCTTGGTCAAGAAATAAGAATAGCGTTTGTTGATGATTTGGTGTCTTCATATACTGTGTTCGTTTTGCTAACTGGAATAGAAAAAATTAGAGTTTTCTTTTTCTTGGGCGGAAAGTAAAGAGAGTTGGAATGGAAGTAGGGTTTAGCTAGGAAACAAACAATTAATCAATAAATAATCATGGAAACTGGAATGACAAATTTAGGCTTTGATTTTATCGCGTTTCTGGAATGGTAGCGGTTACTGATATTATTGTTTTAGGGGTAAATTAGTAAATTTGCAACGTCCATACTAAGTTCTAAATGGCCAAATTTGAATTGGACCATGCCCAAGCAAATATCGGCCGCTAAATGGCCCATTTGGACTTGGGTCAGAACAACAAAGTAACCGAGAAAAACGACGACATTGACCAAAGAAAACAATTAGAAAACGACGACAATGAACAGAAAAAAAAAAAAGAAAAAAAAAGAAGAGAAAACGATGACGAGACAGATGTGAGAAGCAGGAGAAAGTAACCGAGAGCCAGCCAGATGCAGAGGTGGCGGTGGTATTGAGATTCTGAGAGGACGAAGAAGGGGTGTTGTTGGTACGGATATAGCAAGGAGACCATCAGAGATGGGAGAGGTGGTTGAAACCCTAGAGGGCCATAGAAGGTCGGTGGCAGCTCCTCTCGTCTTCATACTCGTCGTCGTTTTCCAATTTGTCTCCAGGTGGCTGCAACAGTTGAAGAAGGTACTTGCTTCAACGATTATCGATACGCTTTTAAGCAATTAATGCTAATTTGGCGTGAAATCATTCTCTTAATCATGTTTCTGATTCATTAATTGTATTTATTCGCAGAGGGGAGTGAAGACTGCTACGGCAAACCGGTTGCGTGGAGAAATTAAGGAGCTTTTGAAGGAGGCAAGCTCATTGTCACAGTGAGTGATTCTTACTAATTAAATCTTATTTTCCATCAATTTAAATACATGCTATATTAATTTTGGTTTTTGGGTAATTGCATCTTCAAAGTTTTTACATTTACACTAGCAGGACTATGATCTTATTTTTGTTGAATCCAGGCCTTCAACATTTGCACAAGCTGCAAAGCTAAGGAGGATGGCAGCTGCTAAGGAGAAAGAACTTGCAAATTGTACTAGTTGCTGCAACTCCACCCATTCAATTATGTTTATATATGTTTATAAATAATTATTTGCAACATGCTTGGGTTCAAAATTGTGTTTGTATAGTAGCAGCCACATACACTTTAAGAAGATGAAGTTGTTAAGCGAAGGGTTGAATGTTTAATACAGTTTAGGTAGTTGTTCAATGTCTTTAATTACTAGGTGTCCCTGTACATTCATTTTATTGACTCAAATATCAATCTCATTCAGAGATATGAGTGGTTGATTATTTAGATTAGCCAACTTGCTGTTCTTTTATTTTTATAGCATATACTCTTAATTCCTATGTTCTCAGTACAAATTTAGTCTTGTTGGACTGCCCATCAGGTGGATGTATGATTTAGAAAACATAAAAGATCACTTGATATAAGTTATTGCTACATTTACTTAGTTTTTTACTTCTTGTATCTATTCCCCCCTCCGTCAGCCCCATGCCGGTTATATTTTCCTATCTTTCATAGCTTCAGTACTCTATTGTGGCGCGGTTTTATTTTCTTAGTGGAGATTTGGTGCCCTACTATGGATGGGAGATTCTAACACTATTACCTGACTTCCAGATCAAGAATTGCATGGCAAGGAGAGAAAACTTTCATATGAGTTGTATCTGCAAGTTTTGTTCATCTCGAAGGTAATTATGGGTATACTAGATTTTTTAGAAGTTTTCTTTCTTCCTTAATCAAGGTTTTTTTTATTGACATACTTGGTTGTCCTCTTAGGTCTTAACGTATCTTGTGCTGATTTGGTGGTTTTGGAGGGTTCCTGTTGCCTCCATATCACAACAACTTGTGCAACCCTTTGGTAATGCATTTTTGTTGCATATTTACTTATTGAGTCCCATTCTTTCTTTCAGTATGGCTATTTGCAAGAATCTTCTGTTTTCCTCTTTATATTTGTCACTTGATGATTTGAGTTCCACTTACTACAATGCGTGTTTTTCCTTGTTATATTGGCCTATAAGTCTATGTCAGTTAGGATAATTACTAAATTTTGAAAAGAAAAAGAAGAAAGAATGGAGCAACTATATACATAAATCAGAGTAAGTAGCAGGAAGTATAACAAAACTGATTGCAATTCTGATTGATTCTTCTTGTTGCTTTGCAGGGAAAGTGCTATCATGGAGGGCTGGAGGAATTTTAAATGAAAATGTTATGGTAAATAAAGTTCGACCGGATGTTTACATTGTTATTATCTTATAGTTTTCCCGGGTGAAACCTTATGTCGGAAAAGGGGTTTTAAGTGATCCCTTAAGCAAAGATGCTGAATCTCTTGGGCTCTTAGCAACTTAATGATCTAACTACTGTCAGGTGCTCTTTTAATTACTATGTAATAAGGGTCTACAGTTTTCTCATAGTGCTTTTTTCGTTATGTGTTTGCAGGTAGGAATTATACCTTGGTTGATATTATCTACTAGGGTTAGCAAATTTGTTTGTCGACTGTTCAAGTTCAAAGAATTGAAGTGATCGTCCTGTGAAGTGGTTACTATGAGAAAAGTAATTAGGACTGCTTTGCTTTACTTCGTAACAATATCTAAACAGAGCTTAGAAATTTGGAAACTACGGACCCTCTGCCATCCATTGCGGCAGAGCCGTTTCATGAGCCGGGGGGGCTAAGTGCAGTTCTTTGTTAGTCAAAGAATTTGTATTGATTTGCTGTACTTTTTTGGTCTATGTAAATTTAGTTTAGTATTTGTGAACTCTGTAGTATGTAGAAAACGGAAAACTTATTCTTTAATTTTATTTACTGAAAGAAAGATCTAGTCAGATGCTGTGATGTATTCTGTGTTTGCCACTCAGTACTCAGCTTTCTTTGAGGGATGGGTGTGTTCCTGTCATCGTTCGTGTTGAAGAAACTTGGTTATTTATATAGTTAATTCTTTTAACCGATCTAGCCATGGTTGCTTTGCTTGTATAAAGTAAGTTCTGTTTATTTTACTTTAACGATTTCAAGCCTCATAACATGGAAACAGACAGATAAAAACCTTAAACAGAGAATCACGGAGCAATAGAACATTTCGTTTTGTTTTATTGGTCTGCATAGCAGCATAGATTTTTAGGTCCATTTTCATGGAGTTCATTGTTTGTAGAATATGTAGAAAATTCAATTACATTCAAAACCCTTTCTTTGAATTTAGTTGGCATGAGGACAATCCAGTAAAATATCGTGTTGTCTTCTGTGGCAAGCATTGGCCTGCTTCAGTATTTGATACCTCGAGTTAGAAAGAGATCAGATAACTTTGGACATGTGACAAAAGGCTTAGATTAGATTAGAAATCAAAGTAAAAAACAAGACAAGAAGAGAATCTTTGGTTCAACTAAGCTGCAGTGGCAGCATGATTAAAATGCCTCCGAAAAGCTTTGGCAGATGGACGGCCAAGCATGAAGAAAGCTGCCCAAAAGTACCAGCAGCCAAGCACACAAGCCGCCACCGCAAGCCGCGGAGAATGACCTGATGCTGCATATGCCCCAGAAATGAATGCAGTCGCCATGAAAATCAAGGCGGACATGGTCGAAGATAAGGACAAAACAATGGCATCCGGCCCTGGCAAATAAAAGTGCATCAAGACAGAACAAGCCGACATACACAGGGCCAGTGTATCTGTTACAACAAAAACTATCAAAGCTGCATTTCTTGCTAGACTTGCTTGGCCTCCTCCTTTTTCGCTTTCGTAACCAGCCATGGCGAAACCCGCTACGAAAGTCACAGTTGCTATCAGTGTAGCCATTACCAGATGAGCTTCTTTCACTTCCTTCAATATTACATCAGCGTCTTTGCCACATTTGAACACACTGAATCCCCTGCAGCTACTACCACCTTTCTTCTCCTCCACCTCCTCCATTTCGGCTTTTGCGTTTGAGCGCTCCTGTATATATGTACGTATATAAATGTTAGGTGTACATACGGAGTTGTCTAATTAGAAAAGTGCAGCTAGCTAACCTTTCTAAAAGTAAACAAAAAAATGCGTACTTTACATACCTTCAGTGTCGGCAGCAGAGAATCATCATCAGCTATAATAATGTGTAAAGCGTTCAAGTTTTCCTTGTTATAAACCAGTAGCTGCTCACAGCAACCAGGACAGTGAGAAAGAACTGCTGGTAGCTTGGCCTCTTCTGCAGCATTGTGTACATCAAGATCCATGCCAGCTTCATGGTTTCTCCGATCTGCTGGTAGCTTGGCCTCGGCCAAATTCCAAGCCTCCATTTTCATTTTTCTGGTTCCTTGTTTCTCTTGGAAGCATGATCTATCTGAATCTACCAAACGAGAGGCCTTCTTCCAAGTCCATCTTTTGTGGACTGAATTATTGGGTAGGTCCTATATTATATTTATTCAAGTGGGTCTTACATTTATTCAAATGCAGCTTTATGCTTTTTTTTGGCACGTGAGGAGATTTCTACTTTAATTTTTTATTTTTTCTTCTTTGGGTATGGATATTTATAATTCTTGGGTCTCCTCTCCTCCATCAGACTGCAGACCTGCTAAAAGGATCGTTTAACAAACATAATTAATTTACTGCTTAAAATGGATTATCAAATGCTAAGCACGCTGGCATTTGCTTAATCTATGTCCCATTTGCCAAATCTTAAAATTTTCATTGGTTTGTAAATTGGACCCTCTTCGCAGAGCAGATTCCAATACTTTTGTTCAAATGTTTTTGCATTGGGGTTCGTCCAAAGATGCAGTAAAGATGCTCTTTTGAGAAAAAAACAAGGGTCTTTCTTTTTTAATTTTTAATTAAAATACTATAAAGATAAAAGTACCTAAATATAGATAGTCGGCAGCACGTTCATTTAACTGTTGAAGGAGACCAAACCCAAAAACGTTAAAAATTTGGGGAACCCGAAACTCGAGCTTCCTTGGCTTCGGTTTGGTTTCTGGACTTCTTTCTTCCATGCTTTGTGTTTGTGGGCTTCTCCCTCCATTTGTTTTCTTCTGCCAGTTTTGTGGCTTTATGAAGTTACTCTTTTACCCCAATAAAGGTCTTTGTCCATTTGCAAACTAGTCCCTGGAAGAGTCCGTTGGTTTTGAGGACTATTCTTATTCAATCTAATCTACGAGGATTTATCTTTTGAAAAAAAAATATATATATGGGAATGGGGATTCAAACTTTGGTATAAGAAGGTGAACTCGTTACTCTAGCCAACTGAATAAACTTATACTATTGTGTTTCAGTTTTTTGATTCAAGCCTAAATTTTAAAATGTCATGCCTCGTTGATTTTTATTCTATTCCAAAATTGCCCCTATAATCAATCAGGCATTTAATTCCCACAAATTTTGGAGTTTAAAATCTCTCAATTATGACGTTCAAATAGTAGAGAACTCCAAAAAAAAATCCCACAAATTTGGAAATTTAAATCCAAAAACAGAAAATACACATACATCAAAATGACTTTGGATTGCATCACATGTTATTTTGGGTTGGACCCAGATCATAGTGTAAAGGGTCGGGTCAAAGCCCAAGAAACTGTTGGGCCATGAACCCAAGTAAAAAAGCAAAACAAAACAAAAAGGCAAATATTTAAGGAGCCTCTCGATAATTTTGGTTTCCCCTTCGAACAAGCTTGGTTAGGGTTTGGTAGATAACAGTTAAACAATTCGATTTTTCAGTCGTTCCTTCTCCTTTAGAGAGTCGCAGCTGCCTTCGAAGACTCAAATCGTCGCAGCCATGTACGGATCGAGAGGGTAAGCCTAGTTCGATTTTGGTTGCATCTTTCAAATATCTGTGTGTTTCTTGTGATCTTCTTGTCACTGTTTTGCTGCGTTATGTTGCTAAATTTGTGATTGATTATCTTGGAAACCTGATTGATGGTTTAATCTGATTCTGAAGCGTCTTGGATTAAGAAAATTAATGAGGAAGAGGAATTGGTTTATTTGATAATTTGATTTCGTGGCTCTTGTATTTGCACGTAGAATTGAGTTTTGGGAATTTTAGTTTTTGATAGGTGTTTGCTTTCAATCTAAGCTATAAACATAGTTGGGTCTTTTTTCTCATTCGTCAAGTTAGTAAAATACGTAGAGCTTGGCTTGGTATTGACCGTTTATGTAATTCATCAAACAAAATTCCTGCAACTCTCATATGAGAAAGACAGGTGAACCATTGCAAAGCTCATTGACTATGCAATGGGAACCCAATTTAAATAAATAAGTAAATGGCCCATTTTACCTGTTCGGAAGTAAGGGCGAAATAGAAACTTAATCTATCTTTCAAGGACTAAAAGTGTAGTTTTTGAGCCTAAAATTTACTGAATTTATGATTTTCATGAGCAGTCTGTGACATGTTGGAATGGATAGAGAAATTGATTCTATATTATTAAAACCTGAGAGTATATATAAGCTATGTTCAATTGTGTGAATGCGAACGTAATGCTTCTGCATGTGACATGTCATATGGTTTCTTGCGTTTGGTAGCATCAGTTGGTTGATATCTTATATAGGAAAAGGTGTTTTCTTTTCTATGCTTTGCTATGCATCTGTGGTTATTTCTGTTTTTGTCTGTTTGATATGGGGCTGGTAGATATAATTATATTTTTTGAGAATAACAAATGTAAGGTTTTAGACATTAGGTGTCAGGGAAGTGTGGGTTGGGTTTGGTTTTATTAACAGGTTTAGTGGGGGATTTTTTTCTTTTTTGGGTATTAAGGGCAATGTTGGGAACCGGGGGGGTTTCGGACGGGTACGAGGTCGGCTCAAAGAGACCAAGAATGATGGACTCGAATCCCTACTTCGCAGTGAGCAGCGGCACAAGTGGCTTTCAACCTTACAACTATGGTGGGGGTTATCAGCCCCCTGCCTTTCCTGTGGCCCGTCTCAGGGGGCTTCCTTTCAACTGCACTGATATCGACATCTTCAAGTTCTTTGCGGGACTGGATATTGTTGATGTGTTGCTGGTCAACAAGAATGGACGCTTCTCAGGGGAGGCCTTTGTAGTCTTTGCTGGACCCATGCAGGTTGAGTTTGCTCTTCATAGAGATCGTCAGAACATGGGGCGGAGGTATGTAGAAGTTTTCCGGTGCAAGAGGCAGGACTACTACAATGCTGTTGCAGCGGAGGTAAACTATGAAGGTATTTATGATAATGACTATCAAGGAAGTCCTCCTCCATCTAAATCAAAGAGGTTCAGCGACAAGGACCAAATGGAGTACACTGAGATATTGAAGATGCGCGGTCTCCCCTTCTCTGTAAAAAAATCTGAAATTCTTGATTTTTTTGGAGAATTCAAGGTTGTAGAAGACAGGGTGCATATTGCTTGCCGCCCGGATGGAAAATCTACTGGAGAGGCATATGTTGAGTTTGTTTCTGCGGAAGAGGCTAAAAAGGCAATGTGCAAGGACAAGATGACAATTGGGTCGAGGTACGTGGAGCTGTTTCCATCGACACCAGATGAAGCTAGACGGGCTGAATCCAGATCAAGGCAGTGATGATCAGAGACAGTGTAAACTTTTTTATGTGAAATTTCCATTGTGGGGCTAAAACATTTTTCTCTTTAGGTTATATACAAACATCATTTGTTATCTTTTTAAATGGTTAAATTGAAGTCCATATGTGGACAAAAGGAACATGTGGGTTATCTTTACTAGCATCTGCTACCACAGTTGTTGTGGTTCTACTTTCTGTTTTGTAATTGCTTCATTTTTCTGCTTGGTTATCAAACCGCCCGCTTAGCCATATGAGCAAGCAAATTTCTCAATGAAAGAAATTGGATGGATATGATTTCTAAGTGGCGGGTGCTGTCATAATTCCTTATTTTTCTGTGTGAAAAATTAAAGCACTACCAAGCGCAAATCAAATTTCAAGGCAAGTGCTGTGCTGAGCTGATCATAAGTAACTGTACTGCGGGGATTATATTTGATCTCAAACTCCATAAAAGGCAATGAAAAGGAATGCACTACTTCCTTCCAATGGGGAAGATCCTCATAGAATTTATGGAGCACTTCCTGTTCCTGAGCACTAAAGCTCACCTGACCTGAGTTGGACTCGTGATTTTAGACATTATACTAGCTGGGCTCTGTTCTTCAGGAACCAAAAAAAGAAATGAGAGTATCATTTCAAGGTCATTTTTGGTATATTGAAATTATTCATTAAACTCTCCGAGCACCGGTCTCATTTCACAGTTTCACTTAGCCTTGCTTCTTCTTCTTCTTCTTCTTTCACTGCGGGTCGCCGTAGCTTCTTCCGCCGAGTACAGAAATTCTATTTGCTGAGAGCTCTTCCTTTACCCTCTGAAATTTCTTTCCATCCCCACCCAGTGCCATGACTGAATTACCTTCGTACCTTCCAATCGAACTTGAAACCACAACCTTTGACCTCATCGTTGTCGGGACAGGAATCCCCGAATCAGTAATCGCCGCCGCAGCCTCTGCCAGCGGAAAAACCGTCCTCCACCTAGACCCAAACTCCTTTTACGGCAGCCACTCCGCCTCTCCTCACCTTAATGACCTCACTTCCTTCCTAAATTACCATGCTACCCTACCCTCCACCACCGCCGCCAATACCACCTCTGCAAGTAGCAGCCATGATTTCACCGCCCTATATCTCAGCCTCCAATCGCTATACTCCAACGTTGAGACTGCCAACTATGCCCCCGAAACACTAGCACAACACTCCACACAATTCAGCGTCGACCTTGGCGGGCCAAGGGTTTTTCTTTGCGCCGACAAAGCCACCGACCTTCTGATCAAATCGGGCGTAAACTCGTATTTGGATTTCAAGGGCATCGAAGCGAGCTTCATTTGGGATGGAAGTGGGAGGCTTTGTGATGTGCCGGACTCTCGATCAGCAATATTCAAAGACAAGAGCTTGAGTCTTCTAGAGAAGAACCAGCTCATGAGGTTCTTCAAGCTTGTTCAGCGGCATTTGGGAGCCTCCAACGGCGATGATGAAGGGAGGGAAAGTTCGAAGATTTCAGAGGAGGATTTGGAGAGCCCCTTTGTTGAGTTCTTGAAGAAGATGCACTTGCCGCCCAAGATAAAATCGTACAGATCGCATTGCCTTTCTCTATCTGTTAGTGACAGCACTTTTTTTTCCCATGTCTCATTTGTTTTGATAAGACTGCTTTGCTTTACTGGGGTTTTGAGTTTTCCCCATTGCTTCAGTGAGCTGTTGGCGATTGAAACATTTATAGATACCCATTAGTACTCTTTGCTGCTTGTTACATTATTTATCGTAAAAAGGAAAAAGGGAATATAGTTTTTATTATTATCTATAATTCTGTTGTTTTTCCTTCAAATAAAGCAAGCATTGGTTGTCCTGAAACATGTTTCTCAAATGAGTTATTCTGTTTGGTTTTGTCACCTCGAAGAGTTTTATTTTCGGTACCCATTAGTACTCTTTGCTGCTTGTTACATTATTTATCGTAAAAATGAAAAGGGGAATATAGTTTTTATTATTATCTATACTTCTGTTGTTTTTCCTTCAAACAAAGCAAGCATTGGTTGTCCTTCTAATAGTCTACACCAAGAAAGGGGTCGTTTTTATCCTGAAACATGTTTCTCAAATGAGTTATTCTGTTTGGTTTGGTCACCTCGAAGAGTTTTATTTTCGCTATTCTGAGATATTTTTTTGTTTCTTCCATATAGGATTATTCTGTATGCCATTTGCTTGGTAGATTATGATCAAGATAACTTGGAAGTTTGTAAATCTGTGCTTAAGACCAGAGATGGGATGGAGCGGTTAGCTCTCTACCAAAATTCGATTGGCAGGTTAGTTTTGTTATTAGGTTTTGTACTTAACGTTTATTATATGACATTTTAGGTACTGTGTAGTACTATTGTAGTGATGCTCGACCCAGTACCTCTGTAGTATGTATACTATCAATGAGTTTATTTATTCATCCATGATCTAGGCTCAGTTTGAATATTTTGAAGAATAAGTCTTTGAGTAATAAAAAAAACTGAAGAAACTCCACAATGTTTGATGGCAATGGTTTATGATTGTGGAGAACATGTACAGCTGTCTAGAATGGGAAGCAATAAGGAAGTATGAATGGGCGGAATCCTGTCAATTTCATTGAAATTAAAATTTCAGAAAAGAGAGCTTTTCTTCTTAGATGTGTTGTATTTCTTATGTGAGCCAACTGATTTTGATGTGTCCCTTGAATCAATACTTATTGGCCTCAAAGTTATATAAAAGAAGCTAGTATGCCACAAATAGGTTCTTTATCATTCTTGTTCTTCTTAGGTATGGTGCGTCTGGGGCTTTGCTTTATCCTACTTATGGTCTTGGGGAGTTATCACAAGCCTTTTGCCGTCGCGCTGCTGTTAAAGGTTGCATTTATGTAAGTTTAAGCGGAAGTAACTGTTACTTAATTTCAAGGAAAAAAGTATCCTAAAGTTATTGGCCTGTACATACTTCTTCATATCTGTCCACCCTTATTTATTTATTTATTATTGGCCTATATGTGTGGTCTTATTTAACTTTTACTCATTTCTTTGTTGAAATTTTTGGTTTGTCTCCAACTCTGTGTATTTTGCAAATTGTGAATCATGCTATTTGTAAAAAGAATGGTGGGTGAGCTTAATGTTTTAGCTCTACTTATTTACTTTTATAGGAGTTGGAGTTATGTTCATGTGCATTAGTTCCTACTGCTTAATCCATAGCATTCACTGGAAGTATAGATAAACATACATACATACATACATACAGTTGGAATGCTTATCCTTGTCTGAAAAATATTTTAATGCAGGTTCTGCGAATGCCAGTGACTGCTCTGCTTATTGACCAGGTATGGGCATGAGGGTACTTATTGTTGTTTCTGATGTAACATATTTATGGAAATAAATTTTTACCTGAAAGTTGTGAATTAGTTAATGTTTATCAAGGACTTTTGCAGAATAGTGGACAATACAAGGGTGTTAGATTAGCTTCAGGCGAGGATTTGTTTAGTCATCAGCTGGTTTTGGATCCAACCTTCATAGTTCCTTTGCTGCCAGCTTCATCTCCACCAGACCTGAGAGAAAGTTTTCAAGTTTTAAGTCTGAAAGATGATAAAAGAAAGGTGGCTAGGGGAATATGTATAATTAGCAGTTCCTTGAAGCCAGATATATCACATTTTTTGCTCATATATCCTCCTAGATGTAAGAATTAACTCTGGTTATGTTAGTGTGCTTTGTTGAAACTGAATAATAGAACTAAAATTGTTTGTCTCCTTTCCTCCCCCCTCCTCCCCAGCTTTGTTTCCTGAGCAGGATACTTCAATTCGGGCTCTCCAGATAGGAGGCGGTTTGGACAAACTGGCTGTTTGTCCATCAGGCATGTATGTTTATGCTAAATTTTTGAAGATAATAATTCTCTCCCTCTCTCTGCATTGACACAGAGATATATACAGATTTTCTTTTATCTTTTATCTTGACATTCTTTTTAACTTTTTTTAATATCTTGATGGCTAAATATTTGGCAATTATGCATTACATGTACAACTTCAAGTATATGTTAGGCACATCATATCTGTTCTCCATGCTATAGCAATGAGATCTGATAGACCAACTACCCTGAAGCAATGAAAAAGAACTACCACTTGCCACCTACATATGTGGATTTGTAACTGTATATTTAATGAACCCAAGTTGGTTGACTTATTAAGCTCTAAAAATAAAAATGGTCAAGCCTTTGGTTTCCTGTAGTTATGATATGGAACTGCCTAAATACTTGGTCCTATTGCCTAGAAATGTCTAATGTTAGGTCGCGAAGTATATCAACTTGTTAATAGTTATTGACTCTTATCTAGTCATGGTTGCTATTCTTTCTTCTTTTGGGATTGTCTTTAAAAAAAGAGTTTCTATACCGGGTATTTACCATTGTATATATGGATTAGATATTAGATACCCACCCTCACACTTTCCAGGAAACTGTTAAATTTGACTTTGTTTACCATCTCTTCTTCAGGTTTGTGTTGTACTTTTCTGGTTTATGTGATGATGCAGGACAGGGGAAAAGGTTGCTACATGCGGCCATGAATGCTCTTCTCACCCTTCCTGTTTCTGCGAATCCTGAAAGTTGTTCTGCAGCTGGTAGTGAAGATGCAGAAGTAAAACCCACCCTGCTTTGGAGCATGTTATACATTCAGGAGCTCACAACGGTGCCCACTGTATGTCTGCACTAAAGTTTGTTTCTCAGTAATTCTATGTCTTGCATTGTGATTGTTCGCTTGTTTAATGCTTTTTTGTTCTTTGCCGCCTTTGATGTTTAGCAATGATGATGAGGATGTTGATGTGTTCTCATATATGTATTAAATTTGTGGATGCCAATGTGATGACTTGTTCTCATCTGTGGATGATTTGAGGATCAAACTGAAAAAGGGCACATGTGATGTAGATATAATATTTACCTTTTTGGAAAGACATTGGAACCATGTTGTAGTTGTTTTTGTTAATGCGACATGAATCTTGATAGAGGTATGACCTGTGATGCCTTTTCTGATTTGCATTGATTTCAGGGTCAATATGAAAATATCATCTCCACTCCGATGCTAGATGGAAATATTAACTTTAGTGATCTGATAGAATCAACTGTGGTGGTATTCCCTCTTTTAACTGGCTTAAGTTTGATAACTTTCACCATGCCTAATTACTTGTTACATATCACCTAATGTTAAGCCCTTATAAAATTTGGTGTTGGTGCTGGTACTTGACAGCTTTTCCAGAAGATGTATCCAGATGAGGTATTCTTTCCGGAGACACCCTCCTCCCCTGAGGTGCCTGAGAATTCAGAGGATGTTACCGAGCTTAGTCTAGAGAACTAATGGTGGTTTGTTGGACTCAAGTCAGTGTCTGCTGTACTAGGGCATTAAGTCATCCCCTCAAATGCATTGCCGCAGGAATTTGCAGACGTCAAAATATGACTGCTAGCATCTTGTATACTAGAACAACAAGCAGGGTACTTCTTGCTTCCTATAATTCGGCAAGCATTACCCATTATCAATTGTACTGCTATTGCCCGGAGCCCTACTTTGACTTTATTGTGATATCCAAAAGGGCCAACATTTTGTGTCAAAGTTCAAAAAATATTTAGTCAACTATCTTGCCTCCAGTTACAATTGACAATTCATTTCTGACTGCGTGTTTATTTTTCATCTCCATTGAATGAACGAGAACATCGTTCTAGTTGCTATGCTAGTGTCAATCGCGCATGATGCTATCACAACTCTTGTTTATAGGTGATGCAGAAAATTTGGAACCAGCAATTTTGTTGACAGATTTTACTGGAGATATAGGTGAAGTCCAACCGTCCCAATTTGCAATTTAGAGAATAAGAAAGGCCTTATTAGCAAATCACAAAAAAGAAACACTGAAGTTCCGGTGAGCCCAACCGTCCCAACCGTCCAATCTCATAAAAAGGTGCGCTTCAATGGCAGTTTCTGGTTTACTGGAAATTGCATACTACTAAGGGAGCTGAATTTAATTATTTTTATAATTCATTTGTAACGCCCTTTGTGCCACTTCTCAAACATGCCCAAAGCCAAAGGTGGTTGCTCTGGCTTTCCTGAATCGGGACCCAGTTTTCTTTTTCTTTGACACATGTGCCCCTACCATCGCGCCATAATTTAATAATCCAGCATTCTGAAGCGGAATATTTTTGGGTCATTCCATCCAAGGTTAATTTAGTAAGTGCAAGTTTTTCCATGGCATAACAGGTAATTTAAGAGATGAATGATGCACAATTTTGAGGGTCAGAACAGTACAGAGATTGGAGTGGCAGTCTGCGTGTATTAGTAGCTACGTGACAAAATTCAAAACCTCGGAAGTCCATTTTACAAAGTTTTCGAAGCCAATTTTGTGTCCTCTCTCTTAATGGCTAGGAGCAATTACTAACAACAAAAAGAAAAAAGAAAAAAATAATATTTTTTTAGTCAAATTACCATTTAGAAAATATATTTATAATGTTAGCCAAGAGGTTTTTATTTAAAGAAGCTCTTTCAAGTTAAGCACCAACATTTATTGGATGAACAATAAATATTATTTTCAAGATACAAACAATCATTGTTGCGAAAATTGTTGTAGGAATTGTAAACAACTAACTTAACTAGGATGAATGACTTTATTTTTGTACACGTGTAAGTATGTGTTTGCATATGCACATAAGTCATAATTATCGTTTTATTATATAAAAAATTTACAATTATAGTCGGTTACATAAATAATAAGGTAAAAGTTCGTTTCTTGTTACGACATTGTATGAGTTCCTTATATATTTAATAAGTTGCTAAAACTAATTATTCATTAATGTGGTAGTCCACTTTGGATTTAGGTGAGGCATAAGTTTTAAAATTTTTGACCAAGGAAATTTTAATTCCAATGTGACATCTATATGCCATTAAACATTTTAAAAAATTTAGAAAGAAAAAAAACTTGGAATAATGCAATAAAGATTTTGGTAATCTCTATCTAAAAAGGAAGAAGAAAAAAAACGTTTTTGGTCATCTGGTAACAAAATATAGAAAAAGCCAACACAAAAGAAAGTAGAGAAAAATAAAAAAGCTTGGCTTGGCAGGACTCTAGAGAAATGGGCAAGTGAAAGTAACTGTGAAACTAATCAAAGGTCTGCAACCTGAGAACAAAAAAAAAAAACCTTGTTCCAAAAAGTTCAAAGCCTGGGTTTTCATTTCATCCCATTCCCTCTTTCTGCCCACGGTTTTCTTGTCACTACTTAACTGGTAATGTAGTGTTGCTTACCCCATAACCATGATATTTCTTCCGTCCTTTACATGGATTCCAGTGACTGTGAACCCCATTTGCTGAGATCTCTCTTAGTCTTCAAGAACACCATCAACCAAGGTAAGCTTATCAAAACCCAGCATTCTCAGCAATCAATTTCAGCTGTTGCTCTCCAAAGATTAGTCCTTTATTGTTCTTCTTCTTGTTGGTTTTTTCTTTTGTCTTTTAAAAAGCTTTTTTTTGTTGTTGTTGGGTTTTTGATAGAGTTGATCAGGAGCTTGCATGTGTACCGATTAGATGAGGGGAAGGAAAATGAGGTTGAGAGGGAGTTTGTGTTGTCCGCCAATGAGCCATATGTGGAGTTACCAGCTGACCCGCTTCTTAGATTGATGAAATTTCCAGTTTCCCAAGTGCACGAAGGACATGTCAATGGCTGTTGGGTCTGCATATTTGCATTTCAGGCCAATTGTCCTCCTAATTTTACATGCATTCCTTTTATACTTTCAGTCTCCAGGTACCCAATTCAGTCTAACAAATAAAATCTGATGTTGTTTCTCTGTTTTTGCTTTCTTAAATTTGTTTGCTTTTATTTTGGTTTGGGGTGTGTCATTGTCTATGCTTTGCATTGTTAAACATTGTAATAAAGTGGTTAATGATTTTCTTTCTGTACGTATATCTTTGAATGACTAACTTCATGTTTGGGCCTGCAAAGTAGAGGAGATGGTTGGATAAGAAATTTATGGTGATACTCACCTCATTTCTCCATGGTGACAATAGGCGGTTTCTTCGAATATCTTTGTTGTGTGCAGCTTTATCTTCCTTTCCAGGCATTACCAATCCTAGTTAAGTAGGTACAGACAAAAGAGTAAAGATACCCTTTATATAAAGTTTTAGCGTACGAGAAATTCTTACATGGAACGAGTGTATAAAACGCCCTTTCACCTTCACCCCTCACCCCTTATGTGCTGTATACCCGGGACATTCACACGTGTTGGTTACGTGACCAGTTATTATGAGGAGGGGTCAAATGCTCTTCACACTTGGCCATTGTATGTAAGAATTTTCGGGATTGGTTTGCAAAGATTGGAGCATGGCCAAGTGGGCCACTTTATTAGTGTTGCAACTTGCTCATAATGATTTATGCTCTTTCAAACTTAGATGAGAGTTTGATGTGGATCCCCTGAGGTTTTCATAGCTGTTTAACATAGATAGTATATATTTAAAATTCACCTAAAAGGAGAAAATTCCTGGATTTTAACAGAATAACTTGCTCAATTAGCATAGGACATAAAAACACTTTTATGGAAAGTATTTTCCATTTCTAACATTTCTCTGCAAAACAATTCATCACATTTAATTGGTTGCTGAAGATATTACCCTTATTTGCTCTGGACCTAATCTCAACCCCAGCTCCAGCTACCCCACACCACCTCTATCAAAAGTTTTGATCATTTCAAATTTCTTTGTTTTCTCTCTAGTTTTGTTCATAATTCTAACAATCTTTCCTCCCAATTGATCAGAAATTGGAAGTTGAAGTCGATTCCAGCTTTGGCTAATGATCTTCAGATGATTTTCGAGTTGAGCAACAAAAAGGATGACAAAAAACCATTGCAAAGGTCAGGGGAGGAAACATGCCAAGGGAGTAATGACAATAACCATCAACTAATAAGAAGTTCGCCCGTACTTGATCTGGATCTTAACAGTCTTCCATGTCCAGTCCCAATGTCTGAATCGTCTGAGGATCAAGAAATTGGAAGAAGTTTACCAGGTTAGTTGCCATTGCTTTCTATCTCTATTGCCACACGAGTTGAACTTAAAAAAATATGCATTCTTCAGTATTTTCTTCTATGGCATTGCAGTAATATGTAGCTGAATCTAGAGTTTGTCTCAGCAGAAGCTTACTTTAGAATGCTAGAACTTAAAAGTTTCATTAATTTCCATAAACTAAAGCAACTAACAAGTGATATGTTTATTTTAATTCTGACTAACATTTGCTAATATATGAGGTAGTAAAAGACTGGATCTTTCATAGAAATTGATATTCAATAATATTTTGTCTTAAAAAAACTTGAATGTTTTTCCCCTTTGAAAATTCTGCTGTGTTATTACCTCAAATAAAAAAAAATGTTCTGCTCGTTATTTAAATTTGATATCTCATAGGTTAGGTGCAAGGTTGCAGGTATTATGGAGAAGAAGAAGAAAAGGGCACCAAGTGATCATGTAGCGAATATCGCTTTATCAGATCTGGCCAAGTATTTTGATCTCCCAATTGTGGAAGCTTCGAGAAATCTGAATGTTGGACTTACAGTACTTAAAAAGAAATGTAGAGAATTTGGTATTCCTCGGTGGCCACATAGGAAAATTAAATCGCTTGACGGTCTCATTCGTGATCTTCAGGTCGGTCCTCATTTACCCTTCCTGATATGTTTTACTCACTTTTATTTTGAGTGATTATTGACATGCTTTTACTAAGTGGCACAATCAATCTCCCAAATCCAAATAGTTTTCTACCTTACTAACTACTAGTGGTCAAAAAATGAGTGCGAACAAATTCACCAACATTAAAAAGATGAAAGATTATGTATGTAATGAATGAAGTCCTTCCGCATCAAGAAAATGAATGAAATCCTTAATATGCACATTTGACATATTAGCAAATACAAGCACACAGACGTACATATATGGACACCTATTATCCGTGCACATTTGTTTATAGATATGAATGTACAGGAAGAGACAGAGATTCAACAGCAGGAAAACCAGGCTGCAGCCTTGGCTGTTGCAAAGAGGCAAAGGATGTTGGAGAATGAAAAAGAAAGTATAGAGAGGAAACCCTTCTTGGAGATGAAGACTGAGACCAAGAAGTTCAGGCAAGATGTTTTCAAGAGAAGGCATAGAGCTAGAGTTCTCAGAAGCCAGGGCCTATCAAACTCTGACAATTAGAACATCTGTATAAAATATTAGGAGAGCTTTTGAACTCATTTCCAAATGGTAAAAACATCAACTTCTGAATTTCTTGCATTGGTGTTCAAGGCCTTGAAGCTCTCTTCTTTAGTTTCTGATATTTACTTTTTGGTAAACCAATGGATCTTATCTGCAGTTTCTTATATTTATTAGTGTTGTGTTTCCATCGCAGTTTCGTGGCATTTCCATTTCAGTGTTTTTTAGCTCATGTTTGACATGTCTTGTTTGACATGTCGTAGCTTCATGTATGCTTCCATTCCATGTAAAAACACTGTAAATCTCAGGTTCTCGTTTGACAAGCCGAAACATGCCTTCATCCCCCCTTGACGATTATCTTAAAACTCTGCTCTTTTTCCTTTTCCCTCATTCCTTGAGAGTCAAAAAATAAAGTACAGCTTACATGACATTCATACTTGAAGAACATGTCTCCGTCGTACTTGAATATCTCCCCTGAGGAGAGAAATATATAAAATGTTTAATGAAACCTGCTGGAAAGAAGCTTCCTCTCCCCCAGGGGGTGGTGTGTGTGCAAGAGTGCACGTCTCGGGCCTTAGTTACCTTAACATGTGTAAAACGTGGCAGTTGCGGCTGTCTATGTTTTTTCGGCTGCTGCTTGGCCATAATTGCGGCTGGGTTTGACTCACTCGGTTGAGGTTCACGATTGCTAACCGAGGTCCGAGGATGTTTCTATCGCTTTTCTTCTTTCATATACAAAAAGTCTCTCAAAACATATATATATATATACATTTTAGGAAATTCAAAAAGACAAATCCTTTGTAATAAATAGTAAGGAAAATCCATGTTCAAATCCAAAAATAGATCCTCGTCAACCCAAATCCTTGAATCATTCTTTTATTATTATTTTGTTTTCTTTGGTCTTGTGCTAGAATAATTGGATCCCTCATTGAATCAAAGGGATACATTTTCTACTAAAAGTGACCAATAGACCATAAGACTATGTCATAATTAACCATGATTTGGGTGCTTGCTAACAATATGCCAGTGGAAGAGAAAGCAATCAATCGTCAACCCCCTTTCATTTGCGTTTAATTTCATTTAATAAAAAAAGTTTAGCATGTTTCAAGTTACAATATTTTTTTTCTTCTAAATATGTTACATGTTAGGTATGTCGCACTAGTTCATCCTAATTTATTCGGAGGAAGACTTACATAGAAAGAGTACATATGTAACTTGATGAGGAGAATAAATGTATGAACTTATATGAAGCCGTGAGAGCTAAGTCTTTCTCGTTCATTTGACACGCATAAACTTTGTTCATGACGTATTAGATAGTGTAACTAAATTCATAAATAATGAGAAAGGTATGATTGGACCATTGGTAGGGTCATCACCTACAAAAATCAATGATGTCGTCCGACTGAGAATTGCTCTGTTGTAAGCCATTCTTTTTCTTTTTCCTTTTTTTATAAAAATTATTTATTAAAGCGACTTTTGTAGGTTGAGTGGCCATCTACTTTGTCAACTGCATACATACATCACGTTGCCACTTCCACCACGTATGTACGGAGACCAAGCAAATTTTTACTTCTTGGTTTAGTGAATGAAGACTAGTAACACTTGATTCAACCTTATTGACTTATTGTATGTTTTAATTTTAATTTTGAACCCAAAGGAAAAAATAGATGCAGAATTTCCAAATGCGGGACCGACATTGCTCCTATAATCAAGCAGATAACAATACAAATATAAACTTGTCGTGACGTATTGTGGGTTTGTAGCAGTCCACGTTTAGGTACTCTAATATAATATATCTAGTAAAACAAGATACAATATTGAATAGGTGTTGTGTTTTTGTTTCTTCTCCTAAGTCTCATAACATCAATATTCAAAAGTTTAGAGCATTTAGTCAATGCTAAATTTAAAAGAGACGGATAAAGACAGTTATGTATAGACTCTCGAATAAAGTTTTATTGTTAAAGCGTTTATTTTAAAATAAAAAAAGTTTAGCATGTTTCAAGTTACAATATTTTTTTTCTTCTAAATATGTTACATGTTAGGTATGTCGCACTAGTTCATCCTAATTTATTCGGAGGAAGACTTACATAGAAAGAGTACATATGTAACTTGATGAGGAGAATAAATGTATGAACTTATATGAAGCCGTGAGAGCTAAGTCTTTCTCGTTCATTTGACACGCATAAACTTTGTTCATGACGTATTAGATAGTGTAACTAAATTCATAAATAATGAGAAAGGTATGATTGGACCATTGGTAGGGTCATCACCTACAAAAATCAATGATGTCGTCCGACTGAGAATTGCTCTGTTGTAAGCCATTCTTTTTCTTTTTCCTTTTTTTATAAAAATTATTTATTAAAGCGACTTTTGTAGGTTGACTGGCCATCTACTTTGTCAACTGCATACATACATCACGTTGCCACTTCCACCACGTATGTACGGAGACCAAGCAAATTTTTACTTCTTGGTTTAGTGAATGAAGACTAGTAACACTTGATTCAACCTTATTGACTTATTGTATGTTTTAATTTTAATTTTGAACCCAAAGGAAAAAATAGATGCAGAATTTCCAAATGCGGGACCGACATTGCTCCTATAATCAAGCAGATAACAATACAAATATCAACTTGTCGTGACGTATTGTGGGTTTGTAGCAGTCCACGTTTAGGTACTCTTATATAATATATCTAGTAAAACAAGATACAATATTGAATAGGTGTTGTGTTTTTGTTTCTTCTCCTTAAGTCATAACATCAATATTCAAAAGTTTAGAGCATTTAGTCAATGCTAAATTTAAAAGAGACGGATAAAGACAGTCATGTATAGACTCTCGGATAAAATTTTATTGTTAAAACGTTTATTTTAAGTGGTGGAACCACTCACCTATGTATTGTATCTTATGTTGTAAGTTTCCGACGTTGTATTTTTACTTTCTTCAACAATGCAAGGGTTTTTTTTTCAAATTATTAATTCAACAGGTTAGGACATGGTTATGTTTTGTGAGTGCTTCTATGCAATTGAACATTGTAAATATATTAAAGGCCGATGATAAAAATGTTACTGCTGCTGCAAGCCTTGGTAGAAAACTCTGCTGTCACGCACAGAACGTCGATGATAACAGGGCGTTGACTATCAAAAACCGGTTAAATATCCGTTGCTACAGCCTACAATTGGTGCCTGCCATTGCCAACCAAGTGAAAAGAAAAAAGGCCTGGATAAAAAAAAATAGTTGACTAAGGAAGGAAACAAAGGATACAATTTACAAATAAAACAAGTATGAACAGTTAAAAACTGAATTGAAAGTTTTGGTCTTTTAATGGCCAGAAGAATTATCCAAAATCGGCCTGTTTAGAAATTAATAATGAAGCAACCAAGTGGCTTCATGGCAACTGCTAGGAACAGAAAGTCCAACACCCCAACTATATATAAAAGGCCAAAGCCAGCCAACCAGATGATTCCACTTCAATTCTCTTTATGCACTCTTCTTCTCCTTTTTCTCCTTCCCCACAACTACCATTTGCAATTTATATACTCATCTTGTTCTCAATTTACTCCAAAGGAAATTAGTTAACAAAGATTGAGTTATGGGTATTTGCTGGACATCTCCTGCTTCTCCTCCTGATCCTCATCCTAACACCAACATATCATCAACTACAGGTACAGTTTGCTTCAACATTTGAACAAAGAAATTCAAAGGGGTCATGGAAAATTTCACAAATTTCTCTCATTTCTTCAAGCAACATACTTGGATCCTAATATTTTAACATGCTCTTACATGGGTTGTTTCCTTAATCATCAAAATTCATACATGATTGATGCTTGTTAAGTTGTTAACTCTGTGCCAATTGTTTTTCAGGGACATCTGGAACTCACAGCAGCAGCAGGAACATATTTTCAAACACAAGCAGCAGTGCAGGAAGAAGTCAATTTTCAGAGGCATCAAGCCCAAGAGTGGAAGAGCCACAGCAAACCAATGGGCAGATTTTGGACTCACCCAACTTGAGAGTTTTCACTTTTGCAGAGATGAAGGCTGCCACTAGGAATTTCAAGTCAGATGCAGTGCTGGGTGAGGGAGGGTTTGGGAAAGTTTTCAAAGGTTGGGTGGATGAGAAAACACTTGCACCTTCTAAGGTTGGCACTGGAATGATGGTTGCTATCAAGAAATTGAACCCAGAAAGTGTGCAAGGTTTTCAAGAATGGCAGGTTCCGTTTTCAACTCTGATTGCATTATTGAGCATTTTTAATTTGGACCAGTTGTATTTTTTATCCTATTTCTTTATCAAGACGGCAACTTTTAAAATGAACTGTCATGATTTGGCAAAGCCTTTGCCTCACTTTAATTAGTATAATTACTGTTTTTTTCAATTCCATTGGAATTCAGCAGATGAAGATGTGGGTCCCACTTCAAAAAAAAAAATTATATGTCCTTTTCCAATTTATTAAAAAGTTAGCTGTTGAGAAAGAGATAGTGAGCAAGTCATGAGGGAAAAGAATTCTACAATCATGAAAGATCAAGTCATGCATTGAATTAGTCATGTTACCCTTGTAATAGCATTTAACTGGAAACTTGTTTCCTTAATAATCCCTGTCCTTAGCTTTGATAATGTATTAAAATTTTCTGCTATTGCTGACCACATTAGTATGACGGCATGCTGGGACTTCAACTCATTTTCATCTGGTAAACACTTTTTGTCTTGAGATCATTCAGCTTAAAAATCTTGTTCATTTTAACTCATATATCCTTTAAAATCCCAATCCTAGTTTGCGGTGTGATTTTAATTCCATATTTGTGACTGCCATCCTAGTTATAAAATTTGGCACATGCTGCATTACCCATTTTCTTCTTCCTGCATATTTTCAGAATTACATTTTCTGTTGAAACTAATTATGTTTTTTTATTGTTGCCATGTTTGATAATGCAGTCAGAGGTGAACTTTCTAGGAAGGCTTTCTCATCCAAACCTTGTCAAGCTATTAGGATACTGTTGGGATGACAAGGAGCTTCTCCTTGTTTATGAGTTCATGCAGAAAGGAAGTTTGGAGAATCATCTTTTCCG